AGTAAAAAAATCAGATATTATTTAAAGGACTTCACATGATAATCTATAAAAAAAATTACAAGAGGGTTCATAAATTATTGAAGTTAATCTTTAATTAATATTGATTTGAGAATAAAGACCAATTTTTTTATCACCGTAACTTTTATTGTAGAACCTCAACCTCTGCTATAAATTCTTAATTGACCACGTGTCCAATATATCACCCAGGGAACAATGTCTCAAATATAAGCACCACTCCTCCCTAAGTGGGGATAGGGTTCATAAATCATCCACGTGTTCTATCTGTTGGCTGGCTACACCATACCTACCCAATAATTTACTTCGCTTCTTTAATATTCAAGAAAATTACAGTTTTGGTCCCTATAATTCTGGATTTTCATGATTTTTGTCCCTGAACATCATTTATTGCAGAAGAAACCCTTATGGTATCGATTTTGTCATGGAATTGGTCCTTCGGTCTTTCAATTTTTCCATCTACATATAGAAAAATTGAAAAAACATGATTTTGAGGACTAACATTGACAATTGCCCAAATTCCAAACCATCCCCACTTCGCATTCACATCCACATCCCCATCCCCCAACTAAGACATGCTAACAACACAAAAGCAGAGGTGTTTTCATTTTCAACTTAATATTAAAATACTAAAAGAAATAGAGGTAAACAATATTGACCTCTATCTATACTATATTATAAAACATTTGATAAAAACTTTTAAAAATCATTCTTTTTGTATGAAGTACTGTTTATTAATACATATTACTTAAAATTTAAGATTACAAGTAAATTGTGCGTAAGTACAACTTATTAAAGCTCCATTTTTGAATTCGTATAACTAACTGTAGATAAACATAATTAAATTATGGATAAATATCTTATTTTAAATAGAAATTTTTTAAAATATAATTAGGATAATCATTGAGTTTTAACAGAATGTTTAATTATTATCCGTATAAAAAATCATATTATTAAATCAAAAATAAATTACTTTGTTTGAATTAAATAAATTACACAAAATCAATAACTTTTAAATAGTTAATTTGATACTAATATTGATATATTTATTTTTGAAATGTTATAACATCTTCAAATTTATATTATATTCAAAAATAAAACATTTTCTCCTTGAAATCACATAAAAACATATTATAACATCTTAAGATAAAGAATAAAAAATCTTAAAAACGTATTAAAATCGAGATATATCTTACTATATTGCGCGAATATCATTCTAGTATTCAATAAAGTAGGCATCTATAAATATATATTCATATAGTATTAAATTTTTATAATCTTATATATATTGATTAAAAATTTAATACATTAAGATGTTTATACTAGCACAAAAATTAAGTCTTTATTTTTCTAAAAAAGTGGATAATATATGTGATATATAACTGATTATATCTTAAGATGGATTAAAAATATTTGATCTCGAATAATTATCTGCTATACTGTTAGAGCGGTCAAAATACAAAATAATGGTCACGACTGATATTTGAAATAGCGGTTATCGCGATGGTATCCAAAAATAGCAATTCATATAATATTTTTTAGACTTGCACAAAACCATCCATTTTTTTATTTTATTTTTTGGTTTTCTTAATTAAGGGTAGTTACAACTGATCAAATGGTAACCGTTAATGATCAAATGAACGCTCTTGATTTGGTTGTAAGGGTTGTAGAAATGTAAATGGTTATATAATACCACACCTCTATATATGTATGCATACATAACATATTATATGCATTAATAAAAAATATAATTTCAACATCAAAACATCAACTTAAACAAGTTTCACAAAACCGAATAAGAAAAATGTTCATAAATGATGATAGAAAACTCAAACCGTGTCAAAGAAGGCTGACTGTCGACAATGATAGAAAGAAATTGAAAACCTAGGATTCTAAGAATTTTTAAACCGAATGTTGGATGATACTCGTTAGCTGTTAATGAATTAAAATAAAATAAAGGCTCAAATCAAAATAAAAAACAAGTCAAAATAAAACCCCAAAAGAGAAAAATGTAAGCATTAGGTTCAAAAGAGGCCCAACTAAGGGGACGCTTACCACACGCTTACCAAGTAACATTACCTCACCACATGAATATGGTAAAGACCAAAAATCTTACCCGGTAAGAGCGAGACAAAGACCAAGAGTCTTTCCCGGTAAGTGAGGACAACTCCTCTTACCACAGTAAGCGCTTACCGGGTAAATTGTTGCATACAATGTCGTTTTGGTGGACTAAAATCTTACCCACTAAGTAAATAATAGTGTTAAATTTTACCGGTAAGCACTTACCGGGTAACTGTTTGGTAAATGGCCCATAAGAATATGGGTATTGCAGACCACTATTTACCTCAAATATCGTTGAAATAGCGGTAAATTGCGCCGCTATTATCGAAATCATAATTTCCATGCTATTTTACCACTGCTATTTTGCTTATGACGGATAACCACTATTGCACCGAAAATCCGCAATTAACAGCACAGATTATCTGTAGTTTTTGTGTCTAAAAATCCCCTCGAAGATCTTCGCCGCATGAAGAATGAAAAGTCATTGAGCTACTGGAGTCCTCCCACGGGTATCAAGAATTCCTTCACGCATGACCACTGTTTATAAGCTTTTTTGTCAAACACATTTTCCTCCGTTGTAAGGGTTTGTGTCTTCAAAGAAGACTTATTATCATTGTCTAACGCATTCCAGTTTTAACAAATGACATGACAATGCGTTAAGAAGAAAAGGTTGATTGACACATACATTGATCAGATTCGGGTTCACAAAGAAACCGATCGCAACTAGTTCTTGGATCCATCTCGAGGACTCGAACCATGCCTCATTCCAATATCCTGGTAATTCGATCAAGCAGAAAGAAAATTGTGTGATAGAACAAGATTATCAGCATTTGCCAATGTAACATTGTCAAAAATAGCTACTAGGGCTCTTTTATTGGCTTATAGTTGAGCAAAAAAGAACCAAAGAAGCCCAGTATATCCCACTCGGAGGTAGGGTCTGGGGGTGGGATGTCGGCAGACCTAACACTACCCTTTAAAGACTAGAGCGGTTGTTTCCAGAAATGAACATTTATGCAGTCAGATCACAAGAAGGTCATGCAGTCAGGAAATAAAATAACTGGACAGCTGTGCAGATTCCTTTATAATGCCCCAGCCCCAGGCACCTGCTGCTTGCTCCATTCAACAGCAATTTCTACTTCAGGGCATTTCAGAAAACCATACAAGGTCACAATTAAAATTGTAAATGGCAATTTGCATACTGAAGGTGAATTCTTCGCACCATACAACTGAGATGCATGATATGTGAATGATAACAGAAGGAAAGAACAATATCGAAACGTGAGGGGGTCTTCTGAAAGATGTATTGATGGAAAGCTTTCAGCATACATCAAGAGACAGAGCCTGCTCTAGCTGGTCGTTATGTAAGCGAGCGGATGCATAACACGTGGGAATCTACATGCAGTCCTCATGAAAGCTAAAAGGCGCTGTTTGATGAGACTGTATGGTAATTAGGTAGTTGGTCAGGTAAAAGCAGACCAAGCCAATGATGCAATGATGATTACAAGGATAAGAAACTGGAAATCTTAAGAAACACCTCCCCAGTCAGAAACCTACAGACCTGGAAATCTGTCTCCCTCAGCCACAGACGGGTAGACAATCTCTGAGGTTTGTGCATTTTCTTGAAACAGCAACAGGAAGGAACCAACATCAAAATGGACTGAATCAAACAAATAAGTAGACATAATAGTTCAACTCACCCAGTAATATTAGATGTTGAGTACGCATATTTGGACAACCAAAGGTCCACATCATTTGAGAAGGGTGCATCTAATCTGCTTATTTTTGCATTCTTTGGGGCTTCCATTTCTAAAAAAAACTAGAGAAAGGAGGGAGGGGGGGGGGACCTACCAGCCCTCCATCACTCCATACCTCTATGCAGTAATTTGCACCATAAAAGCTGACCTTCAAGCATAGTGCCATGGTAAAAACTGTATTTCGGTAAGGGCAATCTCGATTAAGGTATTTGGAGTATATAAAGACAAATATAAACTGTACTGCCAGGGTGTTACTATTTGCTTAAAAGATTGATTAAAGTGGAGCTCTACGGCTACTTATATTGAAGCGTCGAGATTGAACAAGTGAATTCAATCAAATAAGTTTTTTTAGTAAAGATTTAAATTGATTAAAAAAATGACAGTATCTTAAAGCTGGTTAACAAGCTTCAACCAATAACATAATGAAGTTTTATTACTATCAATAGCTAGGTAACTTATGATCAAACTACTACGACGAGAGTGTCGAAAGTTGATACCTGATGCATGTCAAGTCCTGACTATCTGAGATGATGCAGTTCTCTACATCACCATATGTATATTTGGTCCATCATATGTTGCAGGCATGAGGTGTCAATATCCACTAATTCCTATTATCCTCCAAAGAGTAAAGCGTGACCCAGGCTCCAAAGAGGCTGCTCTATGACACGACTTTATTTTGTATGCATAACATAATCCTGCTTGAGCAGATATTTTTATCATGTGTTGTCTGTACTTAGCAAGTAAGATCGTGAGAACCAACTATTCTTGTTTTATTCATGATAAAAATTATTCATAACGAAGATACATGATGTTCATGATAAAAATGTATGATTTTCATGATGAAAATGCATAATATGATCAATGATGAAAATGCATGATATTCAAGATGAATGATACTCATGATCATCCAGGGTTATCCATCATGAACAATATATAAAATAGTTGGTTCCCTGGTTCTCATTTGAACTTCCCCCGAGTACATATATGCTTCTTCCTTTACAAAAGAATGCAAAATCAACTAGCTATAAATACTAACCAAAAACTGATGCCAGTAAACTAATGCATTTCTGGCTATGGGTCTCATTACAATGAAGCTAGGGTTGTGGTTCTCTGTTCAACAATTAGTCAATTAGAAAGGTGACCAAAACAATCAATTACTTAACACTTGTATCAAAACAAAATCAAGTTATTTGGAATATATAAATCTCATTGCTTACATTAAACATCTACAAATGTGCTCCAACAATCTGTTACCTATATCAGTATACAAATGTTCATGAAAATTGATTCAACACATTAAAACTCACCGCACTTTCCTATGGGACCTGAAACGAGATGGAGGCGATGGGGAATACTCCACCGGTAGCGGGGGTGGCTCTAGATCTCCAGAGAGCATTGCCACTACTTCTTTCATAGAGGGCCGAAGTGCAGGGGACTTTTGAAGGCAGAGAAGTGCCACTATAATACAAACTAGAGCTTGTTCCCTATCTAAACATTGAATAGACTGATCCACAAGCTCAAGAAGTTTCCCTGCACGAGCAAGATGACGTGCCCAAGATAGAAGATTTGCTCGCTGAAATTCCGACATGGGCGATCCAGTCACTTGAAGTGGTCTCCGCCCAGCAATTAGAACTAGCAGCAGAACCCCAAAACTATAAACATCACACTTCTCTGAGAGATCCCCACCACATGAATACTCTGGGGCAACATAACAAACAGTTCCCCTCATGCTTGGTGTGCTGCTAATACCACCACTTCTGGGTATCTCGCCGCTCACAGAATCATGGCTATTGTGCCGTGCCCTCCAAAGCTCACCACTAAATCCATCCAACCACCAATCGACACTACCTCTGCTACCCCTGCTCCTGCTTCTCTTTTTCTTTCTATCTACATATATCTCATCATCTTTTGGCCACCAGTTATCATTGTTAATGTTATCGTTAGTCGAGTCTTTCCCCTGCTTCTTCTTGTTCTTCTTTTTCTTTCTTGCTAGTTCATCACAATATTCCTCCTTCCACCATTCCCTTGCTGGCCTTCTCTTCTGTTTCTTCACATTCTTGTCCTCGTCCAGTGAAATCCACCAATCCAGCCTCTTTTTGTTCTTCTTTTCTGATTTTCCTGTTTGCCCTGCACTGGATGAAGCCCCAGTTGTGATCCATTCTGTCTTTGGCCTCTCCTTCTTGATCTCACTCCCAATCCACTCCATCACATAATCCTTCACACGTCCTGACTCCGACATACCATTGTCCTGTTTCCACCACCAATCCTTCCCTGACATGCTCTTCTTTCTCCTCCCACTTTTCTTCACACTACCACCACCACCACTCTCCAGGCTTATCGCATCAAGATTTCCCTCTGACACACTCACATCCCTTGCTGCAGCCATCCTTGGCGATGGGGGAATCGTCTCCGGGGATGTCTCCGCAATTGCAACCGTAACAAAACTCTCAGGTGATTGATTATCCGGAGCTACACTAAATTCCTCACACACTGTAGTTGTTGCCAGACTCTCAGTCTCCTCGAAGACAGATCCGTTATCCTCCATTATTGAATTCCCCACCTTTCTCCCTTCCTCAATCTTACTATTCAATTCAACTCGACCCTCATCTTCAGGTTTTAACCTAGCTAAACCAAAATCCCCAATCTTCGCATTGAAGTTATGATCTAACAGTATATTACTAGGTTTTATATCACCATGAATAATTGGTGGATCACAATAATGATGAAGATACTCGATACCTTTAGCGATATCAATTGCAACCGACAGCCGGTTTTTCCACTCCTTTAGCTCCGCACACTTGCGATGAAGCAAGCAATCTTGTAGGCTTCCGTTAGTCATAAGTTCATAAACAAGCACCATTCGCCGTCGTCTCCGGTCGGAGGAAAATCCAACCACGGAGAGGATACGATCAGAATCAATTTTTCCAGCAAAGAAGAGCTCGTTTTGAAACTCACGCTCGCCTTGGAGAGAACCGGCGTCCATGACCTTAACAGCAACATCCTGGTTATTGATTAGGGTTCCACGGTAAACGGAACCAAAACCGCCTTGACCTAGGCGGTTTGATGGGGAGAAGGAGGATGTGGCGCGGCGTAGGGCTGTGTAGGAGAACTTGTGAGGAGGTTTTGCGTCGGAAGGGGCGGTGCGCTTGCGTGTTGCGAACTTGCGGAAGCAGAGGCTTAGGACTACGAGAAAAGAGAAAGCAACGGCTAGTGGAGGCACAAGGCGGATTTGGTGGTGGTCAGTTGGCGTTGGCGGTGGCCGTGGAGATGGAGATGGAGGTAGACGAGATGGCATGATGACGATGATGAGAGAGAGAAAGTGTGAAGAGAGAGAGAGAGAGAGAGAGAGAGAGAGAGAGAGAGAGTAGAGATTTACATGGACAGCTATAAAGATCAGAGCAGAGTAGGAGCACAGCAGTTTTTGACTTTCTTTTTCCCCTCATTTATTTTTATTTATATTATATATTTCTTTCTTAATTCTTAATTTTCCAACAGTATTTATTAATTATTAAAATAGTCATTTTGACCTCGTAATTTCATCTCTTATCATTTAGTTATAGGTCTCTAATTAGCAGGTCCGTGATTTATGGTGGAGTCAAAGTGTAAAAAAAATCTGAACCACTAACCACCTCATCAATTTACAGAAACCAAATATGTAAATTCGGGAAGAAAAAAAACATATCATCCTGTATATTTATGGACCTATAACTAATTTACATATTTGGTCCTTATACTTTGACATTTTCATAAATTATGGAGCTGTCAACTATCAACTTATGGTTATTTTCATTATTTTTGAAAAAAAAAATGGTTAAGAGTTGAAACTCATCATGAAAAATGGTTATTTTAATTAATTTTTTAATTTTATATTTACATATATTATATTCAATACTTATATTATATTTTTAAGGCATTATTTAATTTGATTGTGGTATAATGATGTGTATATAGTAATACGGTTTCTCATTATTCGCATATACAAAAATAATACTAAGGGGTCGTTTATTAAGCACTTACTTGATAAGTGCTTATCGGATAAATTTCCTTATCGTATGAAGATGAGAAAGGCCAAGAATCTTACCGGGTAAGAACGAGGAGAATGATGGAGAGTTTTACCCGATAAGTGAGGATGACGACTCTTACACACATAAGCGCTTACCCAGTAAATTGTTGCATTCAATGTGTTTTGATGTACTAAAATCTTGCATAACATCAAAATAAATCATAGTGTTGACTCCTATCAGTAAGCGCTTACTGGGTAAGCAATTGAGTAAATGGCCCCTAAAAGTCATACAAAAAAAAACTATCATGATTGAACAACTTAGGGATACACTTAGGGGTTGTTTGGCAGTTGCTGAATGGTTTTATGCATAATGGTTAAGTGGTCAGAATGGTTAAGTGCTGAATGAAATATGGTTGTTTGGTAAATGTTATCTTAATGACAACAAATTACCATTTTACCCTTTGTATGCTTTGGTCCTGTTTTTGTATTGAACTAACATATACCAAAAAAGAAATTAGGGTTTCACTCACTCGATTTCAAAAAAGGGAAATGAAAACAGAGCAGTAGGAGTAGAAAGCAATTCCTGTTGGTTCCCATCTTCATGATTCCTTTGCTTTCCACCCACGAATGCTCACTCTCTTGTCTAATTCCTTAATCCATCCCCTTTTTCTGCCTCGATTTCCGGATTTAATGTATGAAACGCACGCATATAATCCTAATTTGGATAAATTTATGGATCAGATAAATGATTCTCAAGTTATATAGCACTTGCGTCTGCTACTATACAAAGATCCCAATTATTGAAACCGTTTATTGATTCAATTTATGTCAGGGTTATGGAGATGGAGGAAATTTCGAAATGTTGTAGTTGCTAGAACTGCAGCGGCGAGATTTTCTTCATCGAACACATCGAATTGTGGGGTTATGAAAGGGGTGTTAAACGCCGGAGTTCCTGGTCCGTACATTCGTCGGAGGTCGCAGATGGATCTCGTTTTTTCCGATAACCGACAATGGAAGACCGACGAGTGGGACCGACAATGGAGGGGGGGAAGACGGTGATGGAGGGGGGATGCGATGTGAAGAACGGAGGGCAGAGTTGGAAAAATGAACATCTGAATGGTTTAGTGAAGCTTTAGGTGCAAAATGGTTAAGAGGTTAATGTAACCATTAAGAGCTTGTTTTTTTTTTGGGCCAAACACTCTTGACCTCTTACCGATTAAGAGGTTGGCTCTTAATATCACCATTAAGATCCAAACAAACAGCCCCTTATTGAATAAGAGTCACCAAGTCACCACCCTCACTTTACTTACTGGGCTGATATTCTTGACCATTGAAATGACAATTTAAGGTTTTGGGTAATCATTTCTTACCCGATAAACAATAAATAGATAAGAACCATCACCTTAACTTATCGGGTAAGATTCTTAGTCATTGTTCTTTTTTTACCGAATAAAATTTTCGATCCTTATGATATTCATGCGGTAAAATAAAATGTTTCGATAAGTACTTACTTAATTAGCTTTTGATGAATGACTCTTAGCGTGTCATAACACCTCACACTCGTGTTAATGAATCGGTAGTGTGGCATGTTCTTGATATCGATGGTTAATGGTCTAATCCACCATCTTGTCTCAATTGAATTATATGGATAGTTGAAGTACCAAATTTGAAGATTGTAATCTATCAACAATTTTATGTCCTCTACTTGGACTAGTTTAACGTTTTTACTTGGTCAATGACAATACCTATTTTTTGACTTGTGGAACGTATTTGTTTATTCTCAATTAAAATGATGTTTTCATAAATAAAAAAATTAATATTAATTGTAAAAACTTTCACGTCCTTTTCTTGCTATTTAATCATTTTTAATTGAAAATAAATGTGATTAATTTTACAAAGGAGCAGTTGGTGAGGTATGAGACATCCACTTTCTTATTTATATTAATTGTTTTTACCTAATTTAATCGCATTGATGGATTATTAAATCATATCAATAATTTTATTTTTTATTTAAAGTATATAATTATTAGTTTCATAGATAAAGAAAGAAAAGGGAATAGGATGCCTTTAGCTTTAAGCTCTAAAATCTATATATATCAAACCTTTTGATCTTTTATGACTCCCACCTTTTTAAGGGTTAAAATATTCATGTTGAAGATTCAACACCAAAAAAGTAACAATCATACCCAATCAAGCTTTGGGACGATTTAACGTATTCATTGTAAGATGGTGTTAGATTGGTTTAAGCTTGATCTTTAAAGATTAAAAATACATGGAGATCTTAGATTAAAATCCAAAGAGAAATAAAAAATCTTCTTGTGACCACGGAGGTTCAAATGCGGTGACTCTGAACTACCTGCAAAGCAGGTGGTCGTACTGGGATTAGTTGGCTCGGAAAGCAGATTGGATATTCAAGTTAATAAAAAAAAATCATATACATTAGAGAAAATAAGATTTTTTATTTTTATTTTTGTTTTAAAATATTTTTTATATATTTTTAAATAGAAAAAACTCTAATTTAAGGAATTATTTAAAACCTTACGGGTGAAGAGAGAAATTAATTTTTTATTCATTCGATTGAATTATTGTTACTTTATATATAAAAAAAATTCAAAAAGTGTATTAAAGGATAAATCTATATAATATTTAAAATAGAGAATCTATTGAAGTCAAAGTAATTCTTTTTTAGAGATCTTGCATTCCGGTTCTCTATTTTTAAGAATTTTTAGAGAATCTGTTGGATATATATACTATATTATAGAGGATTTGGTAAAAACTTTTAAAAATTATTTTTTATGCATTAAATATTGTTTATTGATACATATTATTTATAATTTAAGATTACAAATAAATTGTGCATATATACAACTTATTAAAGTTCCATATTTGAATTTGTGTAACTAACTAGAGATAAATATATATACTAGATAGGTATCTCATTTTAAATATAAAAAATCTAAAATATATTTAAAATAATTATTGAATTCTAACAAAATACTAATTATTATCTTCATAAAAAAATTATGTTATTAAATTAAAAATAAATAATTTCATTACTAAATTTAATTTAAATTATAATAAAAATTTGAATTAACGAAATTATACACAAAAAAACAAAAACTTTTAAAAATTCAATTTGATACTAAAATCGATATTTTTTTCAAAAAATTATTATACCTTCAAATTTATGTTTTATTCAAAAAAACAAATACATTATCGTGTTTTCAGTACCATATAAAATCATACTATAACATCGGCGGAGACAGTATAAAACGAAACACTAAAATCGAGATTATCTCGTTGCATTGCGCGAGTATCATTCTAGTGTTCTTTAAAGTACAGACTACCATACAGTCCTAAAACCGGCAAACCTTTTGTACTGAAGGTCGGCATGGCCCACAAAGGTTTCGACACCTAACCTACCGATATTTAATACAGTCCAGATGAATCGTTAATTAGTTCCGTTTGCACATAAGTCAATGGTAAGTTCAAAAACGAATAGCCTATACCATGTCTAATTTAACACGCTTATGATAATATTTTAATAATTTTAATTTTAAATTGCAAAAGAATTGAACATTCGAGAGTCAAAGATATTGTTCAAACTTAGAGAAGGCATCGTTGAAGAAGGGGAACCTCAGTAGGCAGCAAAGCGGACCCTTTTTGCTGAGTTGGCGGCACCACCTGTTTAGCCTGGGTTAGACTTCGTTTGAACAGGGTCTGAATCAAGGGTCCACCCATGAGTTGTTTTCTTGCTACAAGTTAAATCGGGTCCAATCTATACGTGTGGGGGAAACAGCATGGGCCTGCTGCTTCTAGATCACATATGGTCCCAGTTTCAAACCCATATACAACAAGTAGTATAATGTTGCAATCCATGCAATGTTAGGTGTGCATTTTGTCCTCACTAACCATATGTAACATTTTATATTAGATTCTGATCCAAAATTACATATATAATATGATGCCACGTGGAAAATGTGTGCATTTACAGTCTGACGATAATCGATCGAATCTGAATCATATGTGATCCAGTTGTTCTTGTGTTTTAGAGAAGGGGTTAATGTGTAGAAACTTTAAATATTCTGAGAAATGAGAAACCACCTAATTCATGTAGTACTGATAATGAATAACTGTAAATAATCATAAATATTATTCAAATACTACATGAAATAGATGGTTTTATGGTTCTCAAAATATTTAAGGTTCTTACATAAACTTAGGACTGTAAATGAACCGAACGTTCAATGAACCGTTCGTGAATCGTTCGTTGAGAAGTTCGTTTATTTAATAAATAAACGAATATGAACACAAAAATTTGTTC